GTGTGTGTGTGTGTGTGTGTGTGTGTGTGTGTGTGTGTGTGTGTGTGGTACTGGAGATTGAATCCAGGGTCTTTGCACTGAGCTGCATCCTCAGCACCCTCCTTAGTCACCTCATTGCCCAGGCTGGGCTGAAATTGGGGATCCTCCTGCCTCAGCCTCCTGAGTGCTGCTCCACTTCCTCACTTCTACTACCAATGCTTACATAAAGCAGTTTGTCACCTGGGTTAAATAAGTCGCAATCTCCTTAAAAAAACTTAAAAAACAAAACAAAACAAAACAAAGTTCTCTCTTTTTTTCAGGTCTTGAGAAAGAAAACTGTTCCAAAACTAGGCCAGTAGAGGTTTGATGTCTGATGTAATTTGTGGTTTTTGGAGGCAATCAGCCGCCATGATAAAATGCTTGAGTAATCTCTCTGGAAAGTTAGGGTCCCCCAGCTGACTGACCGCTGGCACTCTGTAACCCATAGTTCCCTTGTTGGAACCCTGGATCTGCAGCAAGACAGAATCTTCAGGCAGCCTACTCAGGAGCCTCTCTCCATGTGGAGTCTGAAGTACAGCTGAGCCTGTGCAGTGCTGCACGCCTGTGGGCCCAGCTATTCAGGAAGCTGAGGCAGGAGGATGGCTTGAGCCCAGGAGTTTAAGGCCAGACAGGTCAATATAGTGACTCAGATAACAAAAACAAAACAAAGCCTGGTATGTGTTCCTGTGCCACCTGAGAAGCTGGCTTAGCTCTCCGGACTGTGCCCCAGGAGCTGGACACTCCTGGGTATTCTTTGGCAGAAAGCCCAGAGGTTTTTACGCTCTGGCTGACAGACACACTGTGTGAAGATTCAGGGAGGGTGATGGTTCCAGTTTCCTTTCTTCTTTCTCTCTTTTCTTTTGTTTTTTTGAAACAGGGTCTTGCTATGTAGCCCAGGCTGAACTTGAATTCGCAGTGATCCTCCTGCCTCAGCCTGCTAAGTGCTGAGATTACAGGCGTGCGCCACAACCTCGGCTAGGTTCCACCTTTCTTTAGTCATGTGAGAGAGGTACTTCTGCAAGGAGAGGTGAGTGAAGGATCTCAGGGTGGCCTCTTCTGCTCCAGAGCATTTCAGGAAGGTTGTTTCCAGAAAGAGTACAGATGAGCTTACAGTGTAGACCCCGAGTCCCTCAAATTTAGTCCCATAGGAAGTTCTCATATACTTCAAGTGGCAAATGTTTCCCAGCTGGACATCCCTGAACTAGATGGCCCTTACATGCTGGCGACAGAGGTTTATATCAATGACTCTAACCCAGCTATCACGCCTTTGACTCCAGCACTCAGGAGGTTGAGGCAGGAGGGTGGCCCACAATGAGTTGGAGGCCAGTTTGAGCCACATGATAAGTTCAAGGCCAGTCCCAACTACATAGTGAGATGCTGTCTCAAACGAAACAAGACTCTTGCGTGACTCACCAGAGATCAAATTAAGTGATTACTCCAGAGGGCCCCAGGGCTCTCCAGCCTCTGGCTCTCCAGCACCTGGTCTTCCTTAGTGTCCCTGTTGGGCTCAGCATGTCACCCCCAAGCCGGGCAGTATGCCATGTGGGCTCCTCTGAACTGAAGGCCAGCGAAGGGCTCTGAGTTGAAGACTCTCCAACCACCTCCAGCCCCCCACCCCACCCATCCCCTCAGGGCACAGCTGCAGAAACTGGATTCCTCCTCCCCAGGTGGGGGGGCACTGGAGGCCCTGTCCTCAAAGCCAGCTGTCACCCTAGCAATGCCACTGTCTGCCTCCACCTGTCATAGCTGCTCCTGGAGACAGACATCCCTTATCTGGGAGCTGGGGGCCTTTCCTGTAGTCAGGAGGGAGATGGTGGGGGCCACAAGGCCAGGACATCTGAGCAGACAGGGCCTGCTACTTCCTGTCAAGCCAGCACCCTTCCTCATAGCCTCTCTGTCTGCCTCAGCTCTAAATGCTGTTCATGCTGCATCTGTATATATAAACACTTCCCCAGGCTCACATGCATGTAAATCTTTGAGCTGGGCATGGTGGCAAATGCACATCATCCCAGCACTCGGGGAGCTGAGGCCAGCCTGGGCTACATAGTGAGTTCAAGGCCAGCCTGAACTACATAGCAAGGCCCTGTCTGAAAAAAAAACAAAGAAAAAAAAACTTTGTTTAAATAAATTTGCTGTGCTTTTCTTTTGATAATCTGACTTTCGTCATGGGGTGTGAGATGAGGAAAGATGACATCCAAGAGCCCATTCTTCTCAGCTGCTCCCTGAGGAAGATGCAGTGCTTTTTATTCAGCGATTTTTGTTCCAGAAAGATCGTGTGGTGGTCATTAAGGACAGGCTCTAAAAGAAAGAAGCAAACCGCTCTGGATTTGTTCCCTCGAGGCTGGGACTTATGAAATCTCAGGGTTTATTTTATTATATTCTATTTTATTTTTTAGTTTTCTGAGACAGAGTCTCACTATGTAGTCCAGGCTGCTCTTGAACTCACTGTGTATCCCGGGTTGACCTTGAACTCATGGCAATCCTCAGCCTCCTGAGTATTGGATTATAGGTGTGTGCCATTAGGCTCAGAATAAGATTAATTTTATTTATTTATTTATTTATTTAGAGACAGTGTCTCGCTTTGTAGTTCAGGCTGGCCCTGAACTCACTATGTAGCCCAGGTTGGCCTTGATCTCATGTTGATCCTCCTGCCTCAGCCTCCTCAGTACTGTAATTCAAGGTTTATTTTAAAAGGTAAATCTTAAATAATTCTTGTCTGAACCCAAAGACTGTGAATTTCATTAGAAGAAAGGCATATTCTCTAAAACTATTGTTTTGATTTTGTCCCTTTATCACTTGAAAATGGCAACTTTATTTATTTATTTATTTATTTTAATTTAAATTTTATTGAGTTTATTGGTACATTTTAGGGATACAGTACAGTTACATTCATTGTTGGGATCATGTACCTTTACATGGCAAGTCTTGATTCTCATTTTTTCCCCTTACCTCTGCCCTCCCTTGAAAATGGCAACTTTAAATTCTTACTTCCCCTCGTGGACCAAATCATAGGAAGGTATCATTCTTTCCTGCAAGTCATAGGCAGGAAATACCTAGGTTTCAAAAGGTTCACCCTACTTTTTTCCACTGAGTTGTAGTTAGAAAGAATAATAAATTTCATGAAATTCAAACCTAGAACAAAACAGCCGGAAAAATACTAACACAATTATCTGAGCTGCAAAACTTGTTTAGCAAGTTTCATCCAGAGGTTAATTAAAACCTGCTTGGAAACCCCTTTAAACACACACACACACACACACATACACACACACACACACACACACACACTCAGGAACGAATGTATACACCACTACCTAGTCTCCCCTTGGGAGCTTTCTCCTCCCTGTTTCCCTGGATTTTGGTTGAAATATTCTCCCAGAATTTCATCTGCTTTGGCTAAGACCACAGTAACTGTGACCAGGGCACAACCCTTGCCCTCCCATCCCAGGGTAAGAGCAAGAGAACAGTGGGTAGAGAGCCCTGTTCAGGGGTTCTAGCCACCAGCAGGCCTGTCACCTCCTTTAGGTATTAGCCTTTTAGAATTGGAGTAGGGAGTTGTAAGAATTTCTCCTAGTGGTTCATGTCTTAAGTCTCCATATTTTGCTTTGTTTTGTTTTGCTTCTGGTGCTGGCGTTGAATCCATGGCCTTGTATATACTCTACCACTGAGCTCCAGCTTCTAAGTCTCCATGTAGATTTAAGGTACAGAGGAGTTCAATGACATTGTCTTGGACAGGATGAGAGATGACAGAGAGATCAAAGGCGGAACAAGAAAAGGTAGAAGTGCAGCCTGACATTACCCTTTCTGGGAAGAAAGTCATGAACTGGTAGAACATTCTCAAAGCTCGGCTGTCCGCTCCCTCAGAAGTTCCTCAGGTTACCGCTATTATTTCTCTGTCCAGGCCTGTTCAGAGTGGTTGTCAGCTAACACCCTGCTGGTGGATAAGCATCTGCGAGCTGTGTGGGAAACAAGGCCTGGTGTAATTAGAACATGGTGCCGTAACAACATTACTCAAGAAAGCTCGGGACCGCTTGCCAGAGTACATAATGACCACCTCACCCACAGGCATTTGGACTGCGATTAGTGCTCCATCTCATCTGAGAGCCAGGCTTGGAGCCAGGGAAACTGGAAAATGATTTTTGCTTTTTAACTCCTTGGAGGCTTGTGTGGAAAGTTTAAGAAAGCAAATTTTTGTTTCTACGGAACCGAACTCAAATATCATTTGAGGAGGAGAAAATGAAGTGGGATAGTTCCCATCCCACTGGCCTTGTTTGTGAGCTGCTCTTTCGTGGGAAAGGTGAGTTTTCTTGCAGAGGTGGCTGAGAAGTGTTGAGGTAGGGAGCAGGCTATAGGAAGGCGTCTGACCTCCTGATCCCACCAACCCTCATCTGAGACCTTTTCAGGTTTCAGAAAAGTAGTCTCAACCCTAAAGCATCAGTGGTACCTGATGAGAAAAGGCTACCACGTGAGGTTCAGTTAGACAGTGAGCTGTGACTCCTGAGTGTATGCAGAACTCTGCCACACCATTCATAAAATAAACTGTCTGGATCCCTATCCCCTCAAACACAAAAGAATGGCTTTGTTTTCAGCTGGGCATTGTGGTGCACACCTGTAATCCCAGCACTCGGGAGGCTGAGGCAGGAGGATCACTGTGAGTTTGAGGACAGCCTGGGCTACATAGTGAGTTCAAGGCCAGCCTGAAATGCATAATGAGACTCTGTCTGAAAAAAATGGCTTTGTTTTAAAGATTAAACGGCATGATCCATTTGTAACGTGGGGTATATGAAGTACCCTATAATCTTTGGCTTTTTTTCATTTAAGCAGTGCTTCTCAAAATGAGTGTCCATTACAAGAATGGTATTAGAATTGAGTTCTATCTGTTTTCCCTAACAGTTCTGGGGCTGCTTTGTTCCATTTATTTATTTACTTATGGTGGCAAGTTTTCACATCTACTAATGGTAGGAAAAAATCAGAAGGGTAAGGGAAAAACAGGCTCTACAGTGTGAGTTTAGGCTAAGTAAAAAGAGAGAAGAAAGGGAGGAAAAAATCAAACTAAAAAACACCCGCTCAGTGTAGGGTGGGCTCTGGGGAAGGGGCAACGCCAGCCTATTCCATTTATTCCGCAGCTGTTTATTCGGTGCCTATTGTGTTCCAAACACAGAATGAAGCCCCGAGGAAATAAAGATTGTGGGACTGGTCTGTGTTCCTAGGATGTTTACAGTTAGGGAAAGTAAACATTTTTATCACATTCATACCAAAAGCAGAAATCAATGAGTCATTGTGAAATCAGATAGTTTGCACTATCTGATACACAGTCCTGTAATCCCAGCACTCGTGAGGCTGAGGCAAGAAGGTCACTGTCAGTTCATGGCCAACCTGGGCTCCATAGTAAGTTCAAGGCCAGCCTGAACTACACAGTGATGCCCTGTCTCAACCACCTCTCCCGAAAAAAGGTTACTACTACCTGCTACTACCACCACCCCACCACTGGGACACCCTACAATAATAGCGTGGGCATTGCTGAAATAAAGCTGGTGCCTGGCACACTGTGCACGCTCAACGGAGGATTACCATAAATATAACACATGGGATAAACTGATAAACATTCTGTATAACATGTCCATATTCATAAGTTCATGTCCTAAGGCCAAGGATTTAGCTCAGTGATGCCTCTGCCTACCTCACAAGTGCAAGGTTCCCAGTTCGATCCCCAATACCAAAAAAAAAAAAAAAAAAAAAAAAAAAAAAAGGAACATAAGCTCATGTCCTCACAGCGACTCTGAGATAGTTTATTTTTAATCTCAGAAATGAAGTTTATTTTTGTTTTTTATTTAATTGGTTGATTTTTGAGGGTCTCACTATGTAGTCTAGGCTGGCTTCAAACTCATGGCGATCTTCCTGCCTCAGCCTCCCAAGTGCTGGGATTACAGGTGTGTTCCACCACACCTGGTTTGAGGTTTATTTTTATTTTCATGAACAAAAAAGATCCTGCCTCTAACTTAAGTTTCCTTTGACTTTAGATTGTGTTCCACAGATACAAACTGGCACTGGATCCTATCACTCTGCCAAAAAACCACACGGTCATGGATTTAGCTGCCTTGAAGCACTTTTTTGTTGTTACTGATGAAAGAAAGTAGCTAAGCCAGGAGGCGGAAGACAGGCTTGGCGGGTGCCACTCTCCAGAGCAAGCCTGAAGTGAGGGCCACCACTCTCTGTCCCATTTAAAAGGATCTCCCTGCTGTACCCATGTCATTATCAAAACAGAGCCTGCTCTCAATAAATGCTTCCCCGGAGCTGCAGCTCTGAAGTACAGTGCCTGGCCATGGATGTTGGCTGAGGAGGGAAGTGGACCAGCCAAGCCTACGACAACTTGACAGAGGGAAGCTGACGGGTCCAAAGGAGTCTGGAGCCAACTTGAAGCAGCCCTCACTGGACATTAGGTAAATCTGAGCTTCAATAAGAAATATAATGGCAGTAAATGAAGACACAGGAAATGCTAAGAGGCCATGAGTTAATAATGTTACTTGAAAGAAAAAAGGCCAGGGAGAAGATGCTGTGAAACCCAGTTCATTCTTTGGAAGACAGGAGGGAAGAATTAGGCATCTAGCTTGCCTTTTCTGGGGGATGAAATATGGGATGGGGGTGTTGGGGTTACATCTAGATGTCCTGAAGGCCTGTGCGCTCACAGGTGGAGCTTTGGGAAGAGACTGGGTCTTGGGCTGTGGTCCTGGGTTGGTCCGCTGATGGGCTTCTGGCTGGGTGTGATGCTGGGGCTGAAGCCTGCTGGGGAGAGATGGTCACTGGGGGCGTGGCCTGGAAGGGTCTGTCTCCCTCCTCCTCCCTTGATCCCTCTCTGCTTCCTGCTGCCACTCCCTGAGTTCCTTCTCCTCTGCCCTGCCCCTCTGCCTCGGAGCCAGCCTACTATGATTGAAACGTCTGTAAACTGTGAGCCAAATAAAACTTGCCTCCTTTAGGTTGGGGGTGTTGGGTATTGTATCTCAGGGATGAGAAACTAGGATGGGGGAAATTCTCTTTGTAAAATAAACAAAGAAGGAATGATAGAAATAGAGCTGGGCATGGTGCTGCCTGCCTGTAATCCCAGCACTCAGGAGGCCGAGGTAGGAAGATCACCACCAGTTCAAGCCCAACCTGGGCTACACAGTGAGTTTCAGGCCAGCCTGACATACATAGCTAGACTCGGTCTCAAAAAACCAACAAACAGAAGAGAAATACAATGTCACCATTTTGTGACTCCTGATGAATCCGTGGACCTACGTATTGATATTAACTAATGGCTGTGAGCAGCACAGACATATGTAGTCAATGCACCTCTTGATGGAAAAATCTCAGTTATCTGATAACCTTTGGCACTCTATTTTCCTACAGTGCTGAGAATTGATCCTAGGGCTATATGCATTCTAAGCATGTGCTTTACCACTAGGCATCCCCAGAGCCATGATCCTTTTTATTTTAGTTTAGGTTTTTGGTTCCTTGAGACAAGGTCTCACTATGCATTCCAGCCTGGCCTTGAACTCACTGTGTAGCCCAGGCTGGCCTTGAACTGCCAGATATCCTTCTGCCCCAGCCTCCTGTGTGCTGAGATTACAGGTGTGCATGACATGGCACTTTAAAAAAAATCACACAGAAGGAGGCAGTGTTGCATAATGGTTACAGTAGTGTTTCTTAGACTTGAGTAACATGGACCCTTTTCATTACTATTATTATTTTCAGTACCAGGAATCAAACTCAGAACCTTGTGGTTGCGAAGCAGGTGTGGTACCACTCAACTAAATCCCTAGCCCTTTTTATTTTTATTTTTTCCTGTACCAGAAATTGAACAAGGAATCTTGCACTTGCCAGGCAGGCATGGAGCTGCTGAGCTACATCCCTGGCCCAGACCCCTTTTATTTATTTATTTATTGGTACTGGGAGATCGAACTCAGGTCCTTGCACTTGCAAGGCAGGTGGTGGAACCACTAAGCTAAATTCCTGGCCCCCCTTTTATTTATTTTATTTTTTGGTGCCAGGGATCGAACTCGGGACCTTACACTTTCAAGGAATTTTTTTTTTTTGAGCACTGGGAATGGAACACAGGACCTTGTGCCTGCAAGGCAGGCGTGGTGCCACTGAGCTAAATCCCTGGCCCCAGACCTCTTTTGAAGAAAACAATTTTCAGACCCTTGGTGGTGATTGAAATCACAATTACTATATTACTAATAAACATAGAACTAAATGTGAACATTTTATATTTACTGCTTCTATACAACTATGAAACCAGTATATGTTTATAAGTCAAATACAAACCTTCTAAACTAATAAAATTCAAATAAAAAACAGTGATTTCGTAAGAAGGGAAAGGTTTCTGCTGAAATGAAGTTGCCTCCTTGCAAGGAACCTAGAACTCACAGCTAGTGTGGATGTTCTTTGGATTCCGCATGGTATGGAGTAGGATGATGATTCCCCCAACCACTCCTCTCTACATGGTTGGGAGAATGGTGGAGCACGCCTGTAATCCTAGTGCTTGGGAGGCTGAGGCAGGAGGATCGCTGTGAGTTTGAGGCCAGCCTAGGCTACGTAGTGAGTTCAAGCCCAGGCTGAACTACAGAGTGAGACTCTTAAAAACCCAACCCAAGAAGGTTTTCCTCCATGCAGTGCACTGTGAACCACTTGGTTCTTGCTTGGCAAGTGCTCACCTTTGCTGTGCGGCACTCCCTCGACTTCGCTTTGGAATACACGAGAAAGGATCTGTATGTCAGCAATCTCGCAGGGTGGGACATTAGTGTTTTTCAAAGTTTTCCTAGTGTGTGGCCAATCGTGAGACCACTGACTTTGCTGATATTGATTGTTTCTCAGTCTAAGCTGGAAGAGACATGAGATTCAGTCATTCTCCTAGTCTTGAGGTCCTCTGAGAGCATGGCAGGAACTCCCCAGGGACTTTGTAATTGGTTTGGAGCTTGATTTCCAGGCCCAGCTATGTGGCCGTGGACAACTTAATGTGTCTGAGGTTTAGTTTCTTAATAAAAAAGAAACTAGAAGGCTGGGGATTTAGCTCAGTGGTGCTGCCACCTACCTCGCAAGTGCAAGGTCCTGAGTTTGATCCCTCATACCAAAAGGAAAAAAAAAAAAAAAAAAACTGAAGAAAAGAAAAGAAAAAGAAACTAGAAACCAGCATGGTAGTATGTGCTTGTAGTCCCAGCCACTTGGAAGGCTAAGCCTGGAGGAGCACTTAAGTCCAGGGGTCAAGACCAACCTGGGAAACATGGTGAGATCCAGTGTTAAAAAAAAATGCCACAAAGGTGGCCCACGCCTGTAATCCCAGTGTTCAGGAGGGTGAGGCAGGAGAATCACAAGTTTAAGGCCAGCTGAGGCCAGCCTGGAATGCATAAAGAGACCCTGTCTCCCTCTCTCTCTGTCTCTGTCTGTCTGTCTGTCTGTCTCTCTGTCTCTCTCTCTCTCTCTCTCTCTGTCTCTCTCTCTCTCACACACACACACACACACACACACACTGAAAGAAACTGATACTCATACTTGTTATGGCTTACATCTAGATGTCTCCCCAAAGCCATAATGTGCTCATAGGTGGGGCTTTGCGGGGGTGACCGGGTCATGGGTGTGTGATGCTGGATTAGTGCATGGATGGATGCTGAGATGTTTTGAGGGTGAAGCCCGGTAGGAGAGGTGGTCACTGGGGGCGTGGCCTGGAGATGATATGTATCTCCCTTCTCCTCCCTTGATCCCTCTCTATTTCCTGCCACCGTGCCATGAGTTATTTCTCCTGTGCCCTGCTGACCTGCCTTGGAGGAAGCTGACTGTGGACTGAAACTACAAACTCTGAGCCAAATAGACCTCTCCTCCCTTAAGTTGTGGGTGTCAGGTATTTTGTCCCATCATCAAGAAAGTAGTTAAGAAAGTACCCACCTCACAGGGTGGTTGTGGGACTTAGATGAGATAATAATGTATATAAATTGTTACACACTTAATGCTTGCTTTCATTATAATTGCTGTGTGTGTGCAATATGTGATATTCACATTTGTTTTGCAGAATTGCTATATATATAACAAACCTTGATCATTTCCCATCCCCTTCCCACCCCACTGTCTCCTTTCCCCTTCTCCATCTTCAAAAAGTCTGGCTTCATTTTACTGTTTTGTTTTGTTTTAGACAGGGTCTCACTATGTAGTTCAGCCAGGCCTTGAACTCAATATGTAGCCCAGGCTGGCCTTGAGCTCATGGCGGTCCTCCTGCCTCTGCCTTCTGAGTGCTGGGATGACAGCACACCTGGACATTTTACTCTTTAATTTATTTATATTTTGGGTTTCTCATATAAGAGAAACCATTAGGTATTTAATGTTCTTTGACTTATTCCACGTAGCATTATGATCTCAAGACCCACCTGTTTTGCTACAAATGACACAGATTCATCTTTCTTTATTGCTGAATAAAATTCCATTGTGTACAAATACAACATTTTCTTTATCCATTCATCCATTGATGGGCACTTAGGCTATTTTACAGAGCCTAGCTATTTTATTTTATTTATTTATTTTTGGTAGGGATCGAACTCAGGACCTTGTGCTCGTGAAGCAGGTGCAGCGCTACTGAGCTAAATCCCCAGCCTGAGCCAGATATTTTGAACTGTGCAGCGACAAGCATGGGGACACGGGTATCCCTGTAGTATGGTGTCTTTAACTCTTTTGGGAAGAGACCCAAGTTTCTGGTGAGTATGTAACGTTAGCTGTTATCATTAGCTATTATATTGATAACCATCTGGAAGCTACCAAAATGCTTGCTGGCCAGATAAGAACCACAAAGAGAAAGAGCTGATGGGGGAATAGAGTTCTGGGAAAACACTATAGCAAGGGCACTTGGTGGCCTTTGAAAGGTGGGACAACAAGCACGATGATGGTGGGGTGGGTTTGAGGAGGGTGTGGGTTGCCTGTCAGTCTGAGATGCAGGTAACAGCTGACTGGCTTGAAGCCCAGAATGGCAACTCCAAAGGAAAGGAGGAGACTGAAGCACAGGGTCACCCTGAGGTGACAGCTCAGGGAGAGACGATGAAGGAACAAGAAAACAAAGATGGCGTTTGTCAAGCAGATGGGATTCTGGGGCACACATGGCTGCCTTCAGAGGCTGAGTGAGGCCACGCTATCAGTCTGGGAGGGAGGTGTGCACCATGACTGGTTCCCAGCGCATGGCAGTCACTTGCCTCAAAGAGCAATGACATCTGTTCTAGGGCCTGCTGCAGGTGTCGTCTGTTTTTGGCCCGTACCTGGTACAAAGGAGACTCCCAGGTACGGGCAGAGTGGGACTAAGGCTTCACTAAGTCATTAAGTTTCTTCTCCATTGTTTATTTTGCATTTCTGTGGAAAACACCCTGCTTTTTTGTTTGCTTGGTTGGTTGGTTATAATTCAGGATGGCCTGGAATTCATTGTGCAGCCCAGATTGGCCTCAAACTTGTGGCAGTCCTCCTGCTTCAGCCTCCAGTGTGCCGGGATTGCAAATGTATGGCACCGTGCCCAGCTCTAAGACTCTGCTTTCTTTCCCTAGAAAATTTGGCACCTATTGGAATCTAAGTGGTTGGGTTCTGGTCGGGACAGTGGCAGATCATGGCTGTCAACCCTGCAGTCATGTCAGTAGCTGGATGCCTTAAGATTGCACATGGACACACCTAGCTATTTCTTGCTTTAACAGTGTCAAAAAATTTGATTTCATAAGTCTTTTAGGGACATCATAGACTTAGCAAGTAACAGCTGTTTTTAAGAAAAAAAACAGAATAAACCCCAAAATATCTGGTGTAATAATTGGCAAGTCCTCAGGCTTCAAATACCATTGCTCCCAAGTGATTACAGCAGGCATAATA